ATAAAAAAAAAAAAAAAATTAAACGTTATAAAGCTTACAAATAAATTATGTATTTTAAATGGTAACAAATAGCAAAACTCATTACTTCCTACTAATTTTACTCCATTTCACTAGATCCTCGCTCTTGAGGTTATCTCTGTCTGTCCCATCTTTGGCGTGCCAGACAAAGGCACTTCTGGACCTCGCATCCTAACTTCAAGTTTGGGGAGTTGGGAGCTTGAATTCAGCCACGTGGGAACATTTACACCCTGAACATTGACAGAATGCTATCCCCCACACCCTCCACCCCTGTTGTTAATTATTTTCCAGCACACCCCTGCCTTCCATCCAGTACAACCAGAGCCTACATGGATCTTTCTCGGATGATTACGAAGAAGAGAGCGTTATCAAGCTAGAAATGTGGGGGAGGCGGGAGAAAGACAGGGCAGCCTGGGGACCGTTGCGCAGCTCGGGTAGGCTTCTGTCTGGGCTGTGTGAACTTGGCAGGTCACAGCCTCTACTTCCTCTCCTGTAAAATGGGGAGATAAAGGCGGCCATCTTGCAGGGTTGCTAGGAGCTACATGGGTGGAGGGGGGGAGCTTGCTTAGTACACGTGGTTAGGAGCCACAAGCCCGAGGTCAAATTCATGCTAGGTCACTTAATGTCTGAGACAGTTTTCTGTGATCAGTGAGGCAGTGGTAGGGGTTAGGGGGTTTAAAATGCCACAGGTGGAATCAGGTGGGGAGGGGGGTCACTGCTGTGCTCTTCCCTTATGTTCTCCCCACCACACCCCCAGATCTTCTAGGGAGTTCCTAGATGCACCATGGGTGAAGGGGTGCCCATAGGAGCTGTCCCCTGGTTTTAGGCGGACACAGAGAGGCCCACATGAGTGGGATGAGAGGTTGGGAGCCCTCAGCTTCTCACGGCCACTCACCTGGTCAGTTTCAGAAGGCCAAGAGCCAAGACCACCTGGAAAACCCCCAGGCTGAGGAACTCCCACAAAACCCCTAGTCCGGGGTCGTGCCCCCACCCGGCAGCATTTCAAGGAGGCGGGGGTAAGTAGAGGCAGAGGGAGAGTGCTAAGTTCAAGAGCATTCTGGGAGCCACTCACAGGCCCCGGAGAGGCGAGGGGCAGGAATTTAAAGCTAATCATACAGCCACAGTAAACAACACAGGACCCTCCAGCCTTCCCGAGAACTCTCTCTACAAGACTGGCCTCACCACCAACCATCGCCACAGCCCAGGAGGAGTTCTATTCCCACCCCCACTTCACAGTCCCCCAACATCACACCGCGAGGAAGCAACCACACGAGATGCGAACCAAGTGCCCTAGTGCTGGGAATCCACACGCCCTCCTTTCCACAGGTTCTTCAGACAGGAACTTAGGCTCAGAGAGGGCAGGAGACTCTCCCAGGGCTGCACAGCAAGCATTCTGGGACCTGGGCTTCTTGGGGAGAAACTGGACATAGCTGGAGGCTAGAGGCCAAGGTTAAGGTAAAGGTAAATAACTCATCCGTGTTTGAGACTTTCAGGGCTGAATGTTCGTCGTCTTGCCAAACCAGGATGGTTTGTCGCCCTATGGTGTCCATCTGGGGCTGTCCAAACCCCCTCGGACGGCCCCACTGGGCATGAGCTTGGGACCAGGCCAGAGGCCGGGAACACTTGGGGCCAAGTCTCCCCACCCGGGGTCCCTGGACACCTACTTGTCGGTCTGAGGCTGCAGACAGCCAGCAGCAAGGCGACAACGTGGGGAAGCGTGCCGCGGTCCATGCTGTCCAGCTGGGGGTCTGTGCGCCGGGCCTTATCCGGTGTCCAGGGGCAGGGCTGCAGGCGGGCGTGGGGGCCGGCGTGGGCGCGAGCGGGGACCCAAGGGGAACAGGCGGCCGGAGCGGTGGCGTCCCTGCTCCAGCCTTCTGAGGTGGCGGCCGAGGGGTCAGGAGAAGTGGGCACAGGGGAGCAGGGCCGGGGGTCGCTGGCTGAAGAATGAACGGGGAGGGGGTGCTGGGCTCCCGTGGACGGCAGCTGCGACACAGCCCTGGCCCGGGGGTGCAGATAGGAGCAAGGGTATGAGCGGCAGCGGTGGGGAGCTCCCGGCTCATCCAGCCTGGCCCGGGGAGGCAGGAAATGCGCTTCCTTAGAGAAGGGGCCGGGCCAGGCGGCCTGCCAGGCGGGGAGAGGAAGTGCCACGGGCTGTGTCGCTGGGTGGGGGGCCCTGAGGCAGGGGGGAGGAGGCAGTGGGGTGGGAGGGCCCAGGCTCCAGGCTTGTCTCCCCCACACACCCTGCTCCCCCATCCCACCCTCTCCAGGGCTGGTGGGGCGCCTCCGGCAGCCCCCAGCCGGCAGATGAAAATAATCACCCTGACAGCCTACCCAGGAGACCTTTCCGGGGCCGGGCCCTGGCCAAGGAGGCTCAGCTGGAGCTCCTAGTCCCATGAACTCCATTGTTCCCATTTTGCAGATGAGGAAACAGAGGCCTGATGTGGTGAGATAACTGGCCCAAGAAGATGGTGGAGGTGGGATTCACATAGGTGTCACTCAGCACCAAAAGTGCCTTACATATAAGCCTGACACTGGCTCGTCATTCCCTGTTTTGCAGGCAGGGAAACTGAGGCCCAGGATAGGGAAGGAACACTCTCCCAAGTGGCAGCTGGGGCTGAGGTCTCAGGGCCCAGGGAGGGCAGGGGTACATTGGGTCTGCCCCCTTCCACGGGTGGAAAATCCTCCAGGGACAAGAGATAGCCCCAAACGAAAGAGGGACCCTCTGTAATGTCCTTTCT